CTGCTACTGAGAACTTATCTTACAACTAGCTTTTGCTAATATGAACTGGTCATTTGATAAAATCTAAGGGCACAAATAATGAAATGTTGAAGATGATTGAAAGAATGTGGCGTATTCTGATTCAGATGGCCCGGCAGGCCAAAGCTTCAATACCAGCATAGATTCATGGAATTCCGGAAAGTTATACGAAGGACGCAACCTGATGGTTTTACTAGAATACCACTGCTCGTGATAATTGCCCTCCTTATCTGCGAGAAAATTTTCCAGCCAACCTTTTCCCTCCTTGTTTGCCCCGTCCTCCATTCCCGCTTCCCATCCACTTTCTCCTCTTATTCCTGTCCCTTCCTCTCTACATCCTCGTCCTCTCCACCTTGCCTTCTCTTCTCGACCGGATTTGGCACTTTTGTACTAAATTTGTTTTTAAAAATTCCCCCCCCCCCTCTCCGCCTCCTTTTCCTCTCCCAGTAAGTCAATTTTGGTGTTCTTTTTAAATATGTTTCAGATCTGTGAACCATAAAGCCGTACTAAATTCTGCAGAGTCCGACAGCATTAAAAGCGATATTCATTTTGTTCCTGAAAAGTCCTTTAATTGTACGTGGGTGGAATGATGTCAACAACTGGTGGATATTTTCGGATATGATGAAAGGAGCAAGTGCGAAGAGATTTGAGGGATCCGTGTTAGCAAAATTTGGTTTAATTTGATTGTGCAAGCAGTAGAGGGATTTCGTTGGGTATCGAATAGGGTGTTCTAGCATGAAAGGCTGTAGTGTCTGAAATTCTGGTAAAAATTTACGAAAAAAACAGCATAAAAATGTGCCTCCCAGAAAGGACGGCATCTGCATTTGATTAACTTCCCATGAGATATCTTGATTAGAAGTTGTTTTGTGGTTTCTTAAACCTTACAAGGGCCCTAGAGGCATTGGGGATTTTGGCTTAGGATTTTGCTCAGCTTTACATTAAAAAACGAAATTCGAATTATAAATAATGTGACATCGCATGTTAATTTCTTTGAACAATTCATCCCCTGATTAGACCTGTTTTACAGTTCTGTTTTCATTATATTTTTGAAAATTTCTTTTAATTTTCCCAGAACTCTGCTCAGCTATGAAATACATACAGGAACCGCTGGTGTGCGGCCTCGAAATTCTTAACTGTCGACAGTTAGAGCATCTTTTTAATTCTAAACTAATCTTTGGAGATTGTTCTGAGGTGCCATTTGAAAACTACCCGTTGAATGATAGGGTCACAGACAAATCAGTGAAACAAACGACCTCGCCTGATCAACTAATTTCAGTAAAAACTCGGCAGTTTTGACATTCGTGAAATTACTGCGTAATTTGAGACGTAGCAGTAATAAGAGACACAGGCTTACATATGCGTGCGATATCCGGCGATCGTGGCGGCAGGCCGGCTGAGAAAATACGCTCGATGAATTCGCGCTCAATGGTCAGAGTTATCATATACCAAAGGCACAGTGATAAGCAAATCACCGAGGACACCTCGACGATGTTCTACAACAAATTTACAGCTTCATGGGAGGAGCAAGCGCATTATCCCTCAGCAGTATGCTCAGGCCAGTAATTCGGGACTCATAGTATTATTATCGGAGTGCAACATATGCCCAGTTTCTCATTTTAGCTACAAGTCTTTTTTGCGCAGCATCCCTCTAAATGATGCTGATTTTCTACGTCTGTACTTATTTACGCAGCGGCAGTAGTATCAGGGAAAACTTTGGAAAGTATGGAGTACTCGATCGAATCGTCTTTTTACCGTACCTTACCACTTTTTCTCATTATTGCTTCTTCATTATCATTATTATTTATTATTAGTAATATTATTTGTTATTATTATAATATTTTTCATTACCATTTTTCCATTATTTTTCCATTATACGCTGGTTAATTCTTAGGTCACCCTTTTTGATGCAAAAGTCTCCAATTAATACTGGCACCACCTCGGCTAAATTATACTTTTAATTCGGCTTAGCGCTCACTGACTAACATCATCGCTTTTTTCAAATCTGCAGAACTGAAAAGGAGCGGTGACTTCTTCCAGAGGCTGACTGTCGCGTATTTTATTATGTGTTTTGTGCTGTGTAACAGCAGTACAAAACGCATGTTGTCACGGGGTTGTCTGTGTGTGTGTTTGT